ATATATATAAACAAATCATGAATTTCTCTTATTTTAAATAGCAATTTAATTATAAATTTATCGTGTATTGTTTTTAAATAATTAAAAATATAATTATTAGAAAAAAATAATGGTAATGATTAAATCTTATTTTAATTGTATATAGAAGATTAATTCTACGCGATTTTAATGGAATTCTCTATAGATCTGTATATAATTTAATACAATAATATATATCTACATATAATATTGTAAAATCTGTATTAACTTATAAGGAATATTTAAAAAAAAAATCGTATTTTACGCAATTTATTATCGAATCAAGAATAAGCATAGAAAATGGATGCAATATGTGCTGCATCAGTTCTTTTAAAATTCACTTCTCGTCGTTACCAGATAAAATATCGGTGTGTTGATCCCAAACGCCGAAATTCCGGTGGACACTAAGAGAATCCTCACGGTTTTACTCTTCAAAGTGCTAAAATCGAAAAATGGTGGCCTGTCGTCGGCCTTGTTTTTATCTTTTATTTTGCGCTTTTGATTCTTTAAATGTAAGATTGCTCTCCGTTGGGGATGGTACAGCGAAGCGCTACGGTAAAAAGTGCCAAGAATGAAAGTGAGAAAAACCACTCCCGTGACAGCTTGAAGACCGAGTCGCCATCCGATTTTACTGTAATAAAAAAAATTTCTGCATCTAAATTTTGGTTGATTTCTTAGTGATGTTCCAATTACAAATATGTGATAATTAATCATAATATTTCGAAGATGAGGAAAAACTTATGTGAGGAAATCGATTCTTAATAAAAATATTGATGGTATAACTATATATTTATATATACACAAACTTTTCTACTGTTTTTATCATATATTCGCAATAGAAGAATACTTAATAATTTAATCATTTTTATTAATAGTAATAGGGAATTCTTTAGGAATAACGTTTCACTAATGTATGGTAAAAGTATATAAAGATGATATAATTTAAAAAATATAATAAGTTTCTCGCGTTTTATTTTATCCGTTTACTTATATTGTTGAGTTTATTAAAACAAGCCTTTGACATTGTTTTGCTATGATTTAACTTACGTAATCGCTCCTTTTATAAAAGCAGACATGACCGCTATACCCAAGCCGCTTCCTGACACGATGAAAATTTCGACCAATTCTCTCTTCCTCTTGAAATACTGTGCCACCATTAGCGTGCTGCAGTCTCGCGTCATTCCAACTCCTATCCCTGCATGGATGAAAAAAAGATCGATGGCTCAAATATTTGTAGCCATTCCTAATTTTCTCATAGGATCCAATAACAATTTTGTCCCTTTCGTGTCGACTATTCTGCAGTATCTTGAAATTGTTACTTTTATTTAACTCACATAAAGTTTCAGGTGAGAGGAAAAGTTAGGGTGAAGAAATAAGTAAAACTAATATTATTATTAGTACAACTAGTAGATATAGACGAAAAAAAAAGACGATAATAACAATTGTTTGGCAATGCAGAGCCGCAAATTGCGATATATACATATATTTTTCCCATAAATATTAAAGAATATCGTATTATATAGTTTACTATGTTATCATTAAAATTAAAAATAATTATTAATCAAAATTAACGATACAGATGTCAGACGATATCAAGCAGATTTAAAAAAAAAAAAAAAAGAAATTTTGTAGTCGATAGTTTCGTTTATCCAAGAATCTCATTATCTTTACATCGCTCTCACATTATAGAAAAACATCTACGGCTGCACCATCGCAAGTAGTCCTCCGGAGTCTCGTTATCATTACGATCTTTACTCACCGACCACAGTGCCGTAGCTGAAGAACAATTGGTGGAACTGCGAGGCGAAGGAAGTGAAGAGGCAGCCGAGCGCGGTAACGAGGCCGCCTAAAACAGCCGTGACTCTTGTACTTTTTCTTCGGCAAAACGCTATCGTCACCGGCGACACCAGCAGGGCGACACCCGTCGACATTGCCCCCAGCCATCCTGTAACGAGAAAACATCGTGTACAGGTATTGTACAAACTTTACTTAACCGCTGCGTAGACGACGGCTTCTATAGATAAAACTAAACGAGCATGATTACGAGAAGAAAGGATAACAACTTCAATTGTTCCATACAATCCTTTTCCATATTGCCTAATAATGCAATATTGCAGATTTTTATTATTAGTATAAAATAGATACGTATATATTTATCTGTACGCAACGCGAAGGAATTAATTTCGCTGCGGAGAGATATTTGACGGGAAGTCTCTTCACGGAGTTGTTATTAACTTTTTACGCCAGCGGCATATTTGTTGATTTATGATCCCAAAGGAGATTCGACTCTCTCGTAAATCGCCCGTAATCTGTTCCGTAATATAAATGTCAAATCACACATGGCAATTTTAAAAGGGTTTCATAGATAACAGATCGCTACGACTAGCAACCGTTTCTCATTTTGTCGGGCATATTGTCCTCGATTATGTCGCTACTGTCAACTATCTATTTCATTTCATTCTCTTACTCCTTTGTCTATTTAAAATCGACACAGACCATCCGTTCTCGCCATTTGTTTGACGAACGTCAAACGATGTCTGGCGAGGAATGGTGGAGTCGCGATTCGTGGCATCACATTTTCCGCGTGGATTTTCGGGAGACATGTCAACAGTAAAACGAATTCGCTTTGCGGACTGTGTGTATCGTGGCAATAGAATCCAACAAATCTTCTCCGATGCTTTACGATCGGAGGATAAACCGCGATTGGCAATGTGACCACGGCGGGGAATGTTTGCTTACCACATCGATTGGCTCGCTACTTTCGGCATCGTTTATCGTTAGTATTTGAAAATAGTGGAATAATAGATTTATACATCTTGGGATGCATTTAATATTTAATAGAAATCTTTTTTTGAGCATTAGATATTTAAATTTGTCAAACTTTTCTCTCTTATATATGTATATTATTTTCCATGGAATCATATCTTTCTTCTTTCTTTAATTTTATTTACTTCTCATACTATCTCCTTCGTCAGCATGAATTGAGTGGGTCACAATTTTCGTCTAGTACATTTCCAGCCTGCGGAAATGGATTAAATATCCAGCGGTTTCGTATATACTTCCTTATAAGACTCGCGATATGTATCGTCTAACATAAGTAAGTTATTGCCATACCCTAGATGCGCGGCAAGTCGGAGCCAATAAGGTTTACGCGCTGTCATCCATCGTTTCTTAAATGATTTATGATAGTCGCAGCATCCAAAGAATCTTCGGAAAGCACATTGACGCGCTAACGAATACGTATATCCTCTTTCATGCTTCTTCCTTTTTTCCGTTTTATTCTTGCCACGATATGTTTAGCGCGTCTATCGCAGCTATGAAATCTTATCGATAAATCACGTCTGAGGGTGGGATAAAGCCGCGGATACCTCTTGCATCTACTTAACGCCGAAGTAAGCGGAGGTTCACGTGCAAACAACGATAGCTTACATCTCTGTAATCTATCATAAATCAGGTATAAGCACTTTCTTATAAATAAAAAAAAATATATATATATAAAATTATCGATCTATCGAATGTATATTTTATTATATACGTACAAAATACATTTTCTATCGCAGGTCCGCGCACGTGATTGCTCTCGCTAAGACGCCAATTAATACGATAGATACTGAACGAGCACTCAATTGCGTCACTAAGACCGTTTTAATTACGACACCGGGCTATTAAGCGGACGCGATTAGGTCTCCGTAGGCGGAGAATCGTTTAATTAATTTTCACCGGTCGCATCGATACGCGAGCTCATCGATCGCGACGAGTCCGCGGTTTATTGCGGCAGTAAGTAACGGGCTGCCGGTTACGGAGACAAACGGGCGCCGCATTTGTCGTGCGCGGGAAAAAGCGGTTATTAATCTCGCTGCTGCAACAAGGGAACGCGATGGATACGCGTTAAATATCGCTCGCCAACGATGGTGACTTATCCACGTGGAAGCGTCGTTTAAGACCGGCGCCTTTCGCAACATCTCCCTCGGCTTTTTTCTTCTTCTGGATACCGACGGGATTCCTGAGAGCCTGCAACCGTCTCGGGATCCCCTCCTACACGCGGGAATAAATATATACGTCCGGATTCGCCTTGGGATATACACAGGCTGTTTCTGTTATTATCGTTTAGGACATTGACGAGAGAGAAATAATGTGAAAGTTCAGGAAAAAGATTTGTATGCAGAGAGTTATTTCCGAATACATTAAGTTGAAATGCCTTCCCGATAACATGATAAAGTTCATAAATTTGCAATATCTGTAAAATCTAAATATAAAATTTGTATGCGCGCGTGTAACAATATTTTTATATTACTTGGTTTATCGATTGTTGAATTAGCAACGTTTCGTTTCCATTAATAATTTTCAAACACAAGAATCTATTCTTTTATGGAAATAACTTTTTGTGTTAAATATTCACATCGCACACAACATGCAGATTTTAATGCATGTTTTTTTCATTTTCAATTTGTACATAATAGTAGCGAATTGTGGTACACAATTTGTGAGAATGTGTATGGAACCTCTGCGAAAAATATATAGGAAATAAAACAATTTCTAACTTGGTGAAGTCCTAGGAGGACGTTTACCCTAACACTCTGCGCTTTGCCACTTTTCGCGCTTTTCCTTTTGCTAGTTTTCTCGGTCAGGTTCTTTATCGAGAATCGTGCGAGTACTCTTCTCACCCCCGAGATAGTCTCCGTCGATGGGAATGGGTGAAACGACAGTGAGAGTGAATTGGCGAGAGCGAGAGCTGCTATCAGGGTCAATGACTGGCGGACTGGTCGGGTTTTACATAGCAAGCGTGTCCTCGCGAAGGACGTGGAGACTCAATTCACGAGAGTCTTCTCGCCGAGTTCTTTAAGGAGCGAGAGGAAGCAGCGCAAGGATGCATTACTTGTATTTGTCTTTTGATTTTTTATGCAGTCATACAGATACGAAGAAAAATGTTCTGTTACAAAGTTTTTGAATTTTTGCATAGTTTAGATAGAAACATATTTCATGTGTTTCTGAATAATGTGAAAAATGTTTTGTTAATATATTATACATATAACTTGGGATCAAATAGTTTCAACTAATTAAATAAATTCTATATACACGATCTAAGCAACATCGCATTAAAACAAAGAAATAAGTTTACAAGAATCTTTTTTAGAAAACAATTTTATTACATTTTGCGGGATGAAAATATAATTTTATATAGCATAATTTATAATTGGCATTGTTTTGCTTCCATAAACAACTTTTAAATAAAAGTATTTATTTTTTCACAGAAATAATATTTTATACAATATTAAATATTCATATTACACAATAAGTAGAAAAATGCATGCTTTTTAATTTTTAATTCGTATTTTATAATAGCAAATTTATGTAAACGTTTTGTGAGAGTGTTTTAAATATATATGTATATAACAGATTAACCATCGGAATTAAAATTTTTTATGTTAATATTATTCAATATAAAATTGAAGAATATATATACATTTAAATAAAAGAACAATTACGATAATTATGCAAATTAATAGAATGTTTAATTTTTTATATAAATATTTCTAAAGGATGAAATTTGTTAAAATAACTAACTTAAATTAATTTAAACTGATTATAGTATTTTTTAAAAATGTTTAATTAAAGATTGGACCGCGACAACAAGAAAATTAAAAATATAAAACATTAAAGAATATCAGCTGATAAAATTCAGAATTTGGCTCTTAATATAATAATAAAAAAACATGTAAATATTCCAAACATATATAAAGATTTAGCAAATATATCTTTTGTCATCAACAAAACAAAACAATTAAAGCATTCTCTGCTCTTCAAATGCTTGGGATTCTTGCCAGATAACACGAGCCATTCATTTCCGCTTGTCTCTTCCGAATTCCTGCTAAGTCGCTCGGATTGAATTAGCTTCTCATAAAGTTTCAGGTCTTTTTGGGATACGATTTCGTGTTGCAGCATCATCGAAATTTTTTTAAACTTAAAGATAGCAGTTAAAAATGAATTGTAGTTTGCAAAATCCATTTTTATAAGGACGATAATAATTCGTTCGTGATACAATCTTTCGCAAATAATAATAACGAAGGGAGCTCGTATAGACTTGAAAATATTGCCGTTGTGTTTAAAAGTGGATTGGAAATCACTACGATTTTGTGTTTTGTTTCTTTTTTCATAAAATGTTGAAAATATATTCTCGACGTGTCTCTCTTTCGCATTGGAGATAATATCATCTCATATATTGCAAGACATAAGTTTCAATCTCATATAGATTGAAACTTATGTGTTTCTATAAATTATTTGTCATTTTTTCTTTCTTTATTCTGTTATGTTTCTTAATTCTTTATTTTTATTATGTCTTTATTAATAGCAAAGAAAAATAATAATTTAAAAAAATGCAGATGCATACTTCTATCTAAATATAATAATTAGATAAAAATATCAAATTTTTCTTTCATATAAATATTTTTTATATTATATTGCGCGAAACAGATATTTAATAAGCCGCAAGTATAGTTTTCTTCTTTTGTATATCGTACAGTTAATTTAAAACAATTACCTTTGCTGAAGTTGGATAAGATATTGGATAAGATATTGTTAATAATGTTTACTGCATCACGTACCTACGTTGAGGAGAGTCTGACGATATCGCTTTGTTCCATCAAGTAATAACCAAGCTCCGGCAGCCCCTTGGATTCCCGTGGCGAGAATCTGTACCATGACACCTGTCACGACGATGACCCAACCCCAACCGTTTTCGGGGTAATAATGTTGTCTTATGGTGCATTGCGCGGCATATCTGACATAAAATTCGAGGATCACGTCCAACCCCGATCGCATAATTACATCCGAGACATATGACTAGATATCACTATTATAAATAGTTTTATAACGCGCGCGATGTTTGGTTTAGAAAAATAGAAGCTGTCGAAAGATATATAAGTATCGCATAATATAATATTAAAA